TTCCTGCTGTTGTTTCGCATCGATATCCGCTTGATCCTTGATTATCTCAGTTGCAGGCGCACTAGTACTTTTCGCGTTTACTTCTCCATCGAAGATATCTATCTCATAATCATTACATGACGCCAGTAAAGAACTCAGTACCGCGCGCAACGAATTCTTTGCCTGCGTCTGTATGAGTGGAGTTTCTGAGCCGTCTAGATTTTCATCTGGATTTATATTAAGTTTATCGCGAACAGGTGTTGTCGCGAAAACTCCATTTTGCGTTCGTACTGATGCTCCGCCTGGTGTGTTAAACGAATTCATGGGTGTTCCATCGCTGCGTTGAGATCTAAATGGAGTAACCAAAATTGTATTCGATCATATTGGTAGGAGGCACAACGCCGATAAAATCAGAATTATTCAGTGGAGTGTTCAACCCGCCTAAAAGAAAATATTTATGGAGTCAAATAGAGTATAGTTTAACAACATGCTCAATTGTAAAGTTTTACAATTATATTTTAACCTTTTAGTGGTGTGTCCACGTGTATAAGAGCCATGACATTTTGAGCTTCTTGTAATATTCTGTAACGGCTGGAGTACGAGATGCATTTGTAGGCAAAGAATAATCAGCCAATAAACTGTCAGAGAGTGTAATACCGTTTTCAGTGGCAACTTCTCGTGCAATATATTATAACAATATATTAATACTTATAACAATATATATACCTATAACAATATATTAATACTTTGCCACATGGATTTTTGTAATCGATCCCTTGATACACTAATGGCTTATTGTAGAAGGCCCATAACTCTCACAAAATAAGCTGATATATCACCTAGAATTTAACGTTTTCCAAAATATTTATAAAAATTTGATCAATGTTCATAAAAAATATACATGGCGTTGGGATAATAAATATCATTCCTGCGCCGCGTGTATAAATGTAAATATATGCATATTTGTACACACATATTTGTCATCGCTATTAATTTATTTTTATATAATTTTAAATAAATATTTCGCATTTTTATTTAAATAAATTTTCCAATAAAACGTTTTTTTAAATAAAGATTTTTGGCTAGGTTAATAGTCTTCTTCAAAATTCACAATACAATATATAAAATTAATAGTGTTTTTGATTTATATATATAAATGACAGTAAATAGAAAATGTGTTGAAATTGATGCATGCAATATCTTAGACCCACATCCAATTATAGATACACATGATAGTGTTAAGCGATAAGTGGTACAAGAACAAAAAACAAGTCCATAATTTTCAGTATAAAAAAGTTAATTAAAGGACACATACTTCTGAAGCTCTAACAAGCTTCACGACTTGCTGTAATTCTTGATCAGAGATCTTCTGGCAAAACTAATTTACTCCTTTTCTTTACAAGCTCTTCATTGTTGAGCATACCCATAGGTATATCATTTTCTTTGCGTTGTTTCAATTTCTGTTTATCTTTCCTGCGCTCCGTTTCCTCCTTTTCTTGTCGGAGTTCACCGTCTAGGTGTTGTTGTCTCATTCTGCAAAAATCGATCGCCAAAGGATCAACATGCTAATTGGAAGTGTCATAGAAACCTGATGCAGGTCGTTTCTCAAACGATATCTCTGTATTATAATTGACACCGCGTTTGTTCTTTTGAGACACAGTAATACCAGCAGCTCTTAATTCTCTACGCTTTTATAAAGCTGCGAGCCTGCGTGCCTCTTCTAATTGTTTTTCACGTGCTTTACGTTTAGCCTTCTTGCCCTGAGTATTTGTTAGCCTAGCACATGCCTCAGACAGCATCTCCAATTCTGTGAACAAATACAATATCATTGAAAATTTACAGTTGCTTTGTTATAGACTATAATCGGTTATATATACGATAAATGTGTTAATAACACAGTTAGCTTTCCATTTTGACATAAATGATACTGAGTTTAAAGTTATGTATTTTATACACAGATAATGTCATTACTTGCTTACTTTGGTGACAAAGTTATCGCATAACAACACAGGTTTTAAAACCTCATTTTTTTTTAATGTGAGTTAACAAGACTCAGTAAAGCACATATTTTGAGTTTGTACAGAGTATAGGTAAAAACTCAGTTGAACCTCACTTAGGTTTCAGAATGAAAAAGAATATGCATTCAACTGAATTATGACATCATAAATGAGAAATATCTGAGTTTTAATGTAAATGGAAAACAACTGATATCTTTAATTAACCTTATTAAACCTTATTAATAAACAACCTACCATCTTCATCCATATCTTTAGGATCTTGTCTTACTGGTTTGGTTTCAGGATTGGGATCAATTTTGCCAGGTTTAAGTTTACAAAGATCATCTACGGCATCATCTCCTTCTTCTTTTTTTTTGTGCTTGATCACTGAAATATATTGAAGTATATTGATTAGAGTAAATCGTTTAATGTCCGTTTTTATCAATGTAGATTAGCTTTAATCTTGGTTCAACTTATTCTTCATCTTTTTCTAATTCTTAGAACTAGAAAAAATGAAGAATTTGTTGAACTGAGATTAAAATTAAATCACATTGGTAGAAATAGGCCTTACTCAAATAAAGCCTGATGTTACTCACAGTAAGTATTTATATCTTTCCAAACATTGGGCAGCTGTTTGACCAATGATGAGCGCAATTGTATGCCACTGCACGGGTCAATCCTTAGTCGTCCTAAAGAGAAATAGAATTAGAAATATATAGAAATTAGACATAGCTCTTAGCATGCAGTAATATATAATTGTGTGAATAAATTATGAGGATAGACGGTGAAATAATTTTATACACAGGTAAAACACATTTCTTCTAGGTAAAAAAATAAATAATTTATTCGGCAGGAAACTATGAATACCAAGATTCTTTGCAAGAGTAAGGGAAACCTGTCAAAAACCTTACCAGTATTCATTAAACATAATTATAACACAAAAAATAAAATCTGTAAAATATAATTACATTTTATTTGTAACAAAAATAATATATACATATATATATGTATCAAACAAAACGAATGCATATAATCTATGTTATTAATAAGAAATCTAAATTTTCGGATACATACCTTTTTTGCGGGCCTTTTCTCCATTGCGATTCATTTTCTGAAATATCTCACCTCATTTATATTTGCCTCTTAGGATTCCTCGCATCTCCTGTTGTTCGGTTTGGCGCGCAGATTTCGCGGTTCACACGGTACGACATCATGTTGCCAGCGGGGACGCGTTTTCTCGCGCGTGCGACTTCAACATCGTATCAAGTTCACAAGAATACGGGTACCTTTAGAACCCGTATTCTTGTGAACTTGATACGTTATTGAAGTCGCGCGCGCGAGAAAACGTGTCCCCGCTGGCAACACTGGGGCCAAGTCTGGCATTCATTGGGTGCGTTCAGCAGAACGTTT